AACTTTTAGCGTGGTTTGAATTTTGGTGTAGATATTGAAATTTTTCAGTTGGTTTTGTGATATTTTCTTTTCGAAATCTATGTCCTTAGTTTATATGTTTCTAAATCTAGAAACTTCAAACTTTGTCAGTCAATTTCAAAAGTAAATTGCAGTAGGTTATGGTTTGTGTTTGCTATTTCGAAAAGAAGTTTTACTTCTTCCTCAGTGCCTTGAAATAAAATATATCCATCATCTTTCATATGTTTATGAAATAATATTTTGTTTCTGTGTGGAAAAATATTTTAAAATTTAATTTTATGGCTATATCTGAGATTTGAGGACTTGCCACATGTCCCTGGCTAGCTCCTATAATTTGCCTATAACATTTTTGGTTGAAGGTAAATTCATTATTGAGGAGGATATAGTTTGTTATTTGTAGTAAATAGTCAAAACTAGGTTTTATTATATTGTATTCTAGGATTTCATATATCACCGTGACACTGTTTAAAGCGTCCGTAATTTCACTAAATCTTAGATTTGTGTAAAGGGAAGTGATAGAATCATGTGCATAACAGTGAAGACGAGGCCATTGATTGGCGAGCTAAAATATCCCATTGACTGGGTCAAATTTAACCCGAATAATTCAGTGCCTCCCCTTGATCGGCTCTCCCAATCGCGAGGCCATCGTAGAGCAGTGGAATTCAATTTAGCACATACTTACAACTTCTCGTCCAATCAAATTGCTTATATTTGCCTTCTAATTTTCATAGTACATACTTTTCCCGTGTACTAAGTAACTACGCATGAATGACCACAAGGGTAAGATTTCATTGTATCGTAATCAAGATATTTAAAACAAAAATTGCCACTGGCTATTTTGAAATAAAATGCTGTGTTCCAAATTAAATTAAATAGTTTGTAATTAGTTTTCACGTTGATTTTTAAATATCCTCCTATTAAAATCTTTGGATCTAAAAAATGTTTTTGCAATCACATTTCTTTCATTTAAATAAAGGGTAATACATATGGTTCTTTATACCTTGATTAGAGTACAACGATATCTTAAAATTATGATAATTATATCATCCATGCAATTACTTTGTACACAAAAAGTGTGTACTATGAAACCTTGTGAAGGGGAAATTAAAGCAACTTGGTGATAATTTTTTAAACTTTCTTAAGGAAGGTGATCTGTTTCGTCATGAATTGATTGATTTATTGATTATCGGTTGCTTAATTTCCAGTGGCAAATATTTCATGCATGTTCAGGACTATGTCATGAATTGAAAAACTGTGATTATGTCTGAAGATAATGTGCCAATTATATATATATATATATAAACATATTCTGATAAATCTTTTAGTTTTTACTTTGAAATAATAAAATAAAAAAAAAAAAAAAACCACAAAACCTATAATCTCTGATCTATTGGTAGTTGCTTTTTAATGCCTATCTGCTAGACTATATCTATGGGGACAAACTATTTTACTGTGAAATTAAAAAATGTTTTCAAAACATGTAAAGCTTCCACTTCAATTTCATTATTGCCTGCTTTTGGTCAATTTATTTGGTCATCTTACCATGTAAGAAGAACATGCATAGTAAAACACCGCTTTATATCAATATACATACTTACACCAACAGCTACCATCTTTTCATTCTGGAGTCAAGTGCCTTTTGAAATCACATATTTTACAATGATACTAGTGAATAGATTTACAAAACTTCGTTAATGAGCTCCGTTTTACAAACACCTGTGATACAAGTAGTCAGCTAAAATAAACTATCAATAGACCAATTAAAAGATTACTCGAGTTGTAAATATGTGCTAAATTGGATAGTCTATGAAAAGGTATATACATAGATGGGTTTATACATCTATGGTATATACTATGAAATTTAGAATATAGCAAAGTACTCTCGACCAATGAAATTGTAGAATTGGATGCCTCTTAATTGTGAAGAATGAATGTAAATCATGTTCTTAGTAAGGGATTATCCTATTATTTTGGTCTATTTACAGTTCAAAACAAAGAGTTTCTATAAATGAGTTACAACTGCCCCGAAGCACATTTATCAGATTGAAAGGATTTATCACACAGTGATTGAACCTGACTAAAAGTTGAATTGTGAAACAAACAAAAATCTCAAAATAAGTTGAAGTTTACTGGTGCAGTAAAATTGGTACCGTGAATGTTATTATGAAACTATTAATAACTTCAAATTACTATAAAATTAAACAATACCAAAGCAATGCAAAAAAAAAAAAATCTTTCAGATAAAAAATAACCTAAATCTTTAGCTTTCCAAAACTTTGATTACTTGATCAGCGGTTGAGAAGAATAGTTATTTTCAATACATGTATTCAGATAAAAAAAAACAGGAATTTAATTTTGAACATATTAAAAACTTTTAAGGGCATTATTTTTGAACATTTCCCTGACATAATGAAATAGTATTTGATGTAAAAAGCCGGACCAAATTATTGGCTGTGAAATAAAATTTAGTTGTAACTCAAATGTATTAATATTGATTTAAACTGTAAATAAAAAAAACGGATAATTCCTACATTCATACTCACAATCAGGAAACATACAATTCCTACCTTTTCTTTCTACTGTTGTGTCACCTAATATCTATAACGCATTTTTTTTTAAAAATGTTTCCCAAATGATATGAAAGTCCTCACATTACTAAAACTAATCCATAAATGACATGCCGAAAAAGGAAGTCAAGCATCAATTATAAACATTGCACTGACAATGAAACTAATTCTTGAATAGATCATTTGAGCCTTAAGCACTTTACAATATTCTAAGTTTGTAAGAAAATGATAATCCCTTACTTCATGATAAGTACTCGCTAACGCTCGTACTTATTCATGAAGAAAGGGATTATCATTCTCTTACATATACTAAGAGCTCGGGGCAAGCCCCTCGCTCTAAATTTCATAGTATATACCTTTTTATAGACTAACCTAGACATAACGACTGAATTATTCGGGTTAGGTCAGATTAGGTGAACGTTCGTCTGTAACACCCACTGCTCACGACGTACTTATTATAGACATTTAAACTGTGGGGTCACCAAAGGGTCTCACTGCTTAAATAAAATAATTCGAAAAACTATTCAGGAATAACCTTTGTGTTTTGATTTATATTGAATACTTAAACGTTCTTTACTTGTGTTTTTTGTTATGTTTTGATAATAAATTTTTATGATATCGCACGTTCTTTCAGCAAAAAAAAGAGGATTTAACTGGCTTTAAAAGTTACAATGCATGTGTTGATTATTATCTTTTTTCGGACGTCAAAGCGATTTAACAATTGCGGTTATCCAATTATGTCATCTTTTAACTTTTATCTGTTCAAAATTTTATTTTAGAACGAATGCATGATCAACTTTAAAAAGTGTGCAAATACAAAACATATAGACAAAATATACTTCTGTCCTGTCTTTTTCGTACTTGCAAGTTATTAGACAGTAAAAAAGCTATTTGGAACAAGCCTTGTGAAATTTGCATTTACGTTATTGAATAGGTAAAATGTATAGTTTGGTGAAATTTTCTGCTAACTACTATACTTGTGAAAAACCCTTGGCAACAGAAACGCATTCAGTTTTTTTTTTAATCGACCCAATTTACATAGTAATGGACGACTTCGTACATTTTATAATCGCAAATAAAATATGTATATAATATACTGTGCACTGTAGTTCGTATATTTATTTTTTCTTTTGTTTATGGATTTGCCCGTCTTTCTGGGAGTGATTATTTGTTATTGACTCCTTAAGCTTACTCGCAAATAATTTAAAACCAAGACTTGCATTATAAAAATGTCCAAACAAACCTTGATTTTCCTTTTTTTTTTAACATACATCTCAGCCATAGATAAGGACTTAAATTCGCCAGGTCTTTAATTTCAAGTTAGTGAGTTGACCAAAGTAATATTGCGGACCATTTGCCAGTTTCCATGCGGTATCCGTGTTTTTTCTCTCGCTCTGTTCTGCATCCACTCAAATTTCGTGTTTGTCATGACAAGATCATATTAAGCTTTCATGCTATACAGTGTGTGGTTTGCTTATTGTTGAAGGTCGTAAGGTGACCTATATTGCTAATGTCTGTTGGTCACTGGAAGGGATTTGTCTGATTGTCTATCACACCACATATTCTTATTTCTATATGCAGTTATATCTATAATAAAATTGAGAATTGAAACGGGGAATGTGTCAAAGAGACAACAACCCGACCAAACAGCAGAAAATTTGTTTTTCGTTAATTGTTTTGTTGTATAAAAGGCCGTTGGTTTTCTCAATTGAATTGTTTCATATTCTCGTCGGGGACTGTTGTAGCCGACTATACGGTATGGGTTTTTCTCATTGTTGAAGGCCGTACGGTTGCCTTTAATTGCTTACATCCACTTCATTTGAACTTTGGTGGATAGTTGTCTTATTAGCAATCATACCACATCTATATGTTTATATAAAGTTGCATCAATTGTGACTTTAGATACATTGGTGTATTGATTTTTGTTTGCGAACTACGTCTAGCGTCAAATTTGTCATGCATGTTTAGGACTATTAAATATATTGCAGATAGTTTCGTAGTTAAACGGCTTTAGATCTGTTATACGACAATAATACATAAAAAAATAAAAGGTAGGAAAATTAAAAGAGACTACAACTGCAAAGACCATCAAGTCCTGTTCATAAATAGTAAAAATAGACGTTTAATCAACAATGAACAACACAAAACCCGGATAGCCGGACGTTTGGCTCAAAATTTACTGGGGCTAATCCAGTTTAACATGCAATCCCTCCCTGGCCAGACGTGGTGCAGGCACACAATCCAGTGGGTTAAATCAGTATAACATGCATCCTCCCCAGCCCGACTTTGGCATAATATGTAGCGGTGTATTGCTGTGTGTTTGTTTAATCTACATTGGCTAGAGGTATAGGGAGAGGGTTGAGATCTCACTAAACATGTTTAACCCCGCCGCATTTTTTGCTCCTGTCCTGTGCTGTTTCATTGTTTCTATAATTTGATAACTTTATTAATTTTTGTCTAATTGTCTTTGTTTACATTTGTACTTTCATTTTAGTACTACTTTCACTTTTCATTCCAGGTAAATTTACCTTTACTTTTTATTTTTATAATTACCTGTACTTTCATTTTAATGAGTACTTTCACTTTCACTTTAAAGAGTTAATTTCCTGTTTCCTGTGTATACTCATAGATGTTGTGTACCACAACAAGGTTGACAAATGTTTTGAATCTAACTAGAACTTGGTCATCCTATGCTGGCAGACCAATATGTAAGTTAATTTTTGATATATGATGTTTATTTTATACAGATGCATGTGTATTTTTGAGATATATTTAATATTAAAGAGTTTATTGTACAAGACATATCACATGAATATTTGGATATTTTTCTAAAGTATGGCAACCCATCAGAGATATATTGTTTTATGTCAAGACTATATATATTGGTATTTTTCATATATAGGATTATTTGTCTACGTTTCTCGAGCTTTTTGGTAAACAAATACATTCTTTTGATTCTATAATTTACCTTTATCTGTGTATTCTTTAAATTGTATTTTTTATCAGCTAGTATAAGGTTTCCTTTTTTCTATTGTAGCTTTTTACCACACGCACTCACCACATGTATGTAACAACTTGAACTGTATATTATATCAATATTAAACATTATTGGATAAGATTACTTCAGTGATTTGTACTGCCACATGGAGTGTTGGTTCACTATCTGTTAAGCTACCTAACGGTATAGTAAAAAGATATTGCAGTATATATGTCAGAAAGCCGACTAAGGAAACTAACATTCAAAGGACAAGCAATGTTTGAAGAACACAGTGAGAAATTAAAGGACAAAGTTGATAATTTATGGTCAAAATTGGAGGATTTAATTGTTACCCTTCCATCATGTCAGATGATAAAGGATTATAGAAGTTTAGAGAAAAATGTTAATACAAATTTTAAAGAATTTTGTCGTCGTTCGGAGGAGTATAAAAATTATTTAAAAAGGACAAATACGGACGAATCCAGAAAAGTGTTGGACGATCACAATGAATTTTTTAATAGTTCTATTAGCGTCGTCAGAAGAGTTAATAACGATATTAAGAAAAAGAAACTCGAATTAGTTGACCAATTATCGGAAGTGAGTGGATCAACAGTTGGGTCATCAGCGAGTCATAAAAGAGCTAAAGCAGAGGCAGAAAAGGTTCGTTTGGAATATGTTAAAAGAGAAGGTGAACTGTTAAAGCAAAAAGCAGATATAGAAGCAAGTATGAGCGTTGTAAAACAGGAAGGAATAGTTGAAGCAGCAGAGGTAGAGGCCAGAATTTTGGAAGAACAAGATCAAGAATTGCCAATGGCGTTAGAGGACAAACACGACAAGGTTAGCAAGTACGTAGAAACATTACCAAGTTATAGTGTACAGCAAGGGACAAGTGCTGTTGGCTTTTCTGATAATCAGCCGTCTATTTCAGTAACAGCTCCGTTTGCTCCTCAATACAATAATCTTCCTCCTGTTTCATCTGAAATATTATCAATGATGCAACCGATTTCGGCTACAATATTAAGTCAACCGATTTCCGCTACAGTGTCAAGTCAACCGATTTATACTACCGTATCTAGTCAACCATCACATTTTAAATCAAATGTTGCCAACTATCAACAACCTCAGCCTATGTCTTTCTTGCCACCAAATAATCCCTACATTAATGTTATGTCTGATGTTACAAAATTTATGCTACGGAAAGATTTTCTGTTGACACGTTTTATAAACTTTGATGACACACCAGAATCATTTGCTTCGTGGCGAGCATCTTTTCAAAATATTACTGGTGAACTCTGTGTTTCTCCATTTGAGGAAATGGATTTGTTAATAAAATGGTTAGGACTGGAGTCGTCGAAATTTGCTAAGAGTCTTAGGGCTTCAAATGCACACGATCCTTCAAGAGGTTTAAAACGCATTTGGGATCGACTACAAGAACGATATGGTCGACCAGAAATGGTAGAAAACGCTTTGAAGAAAAAATTGAATTCTTTTCCGATTATCACAAACAAGGACAGCTCAAAACTTTACGATCTCCTAGACATACTAAGTGAAATAGAGTCTGCAATGGCAAATCCGATGTATTCAACACTTTTGAGTTACTTTAATTCTTCATCAGGTGTTTCTCCGATCGTATCTAAGCTTTCTTATTCTCTGCAAGAGAAATGGACAACACAAGCTTCAAACTACAAGAAAAACCATTCAGTTCCGTATCCGCCATTTTCCTTCTTTATCAATTTCATCAGAGATATGTGTCAAATTCGCAATGATCCTGCTTTTAGCTATTCTAATTCGAACACTTCTAGCTATACAAAGCGTTCTTCGAATCCAGTTCTTACTAGGAAGGTTGAGGTTTCAGCTCAAAGTGACACTCGTATACGTGATAGCAATAATCGTTGTCCGATACATAAAGCTGGACATACATTAAGTGAGTGTCGCGGTTTCCAAAAGCGACCATTTCAGGATCGTCAGCGTTTTCTACGTGAAAAGACAATATGTTTCCGTTGTTGTCAATCAAATGACCATATATCAAGGAACTGCAATGTCAATGTTAAATGTTCAATTTGCGGAAGCAATCGCCATGTTTCATCTATGCACATAGATCGTTCACCCACAACCGAAAAAATCAGTACACCAAAAACTGATGAAGACTACGGCGGGGAGTTTTCCACAGAAACAATATCAACGGCCTGTACGAGATTGTGTGGAAATATGCGTGTCGGCCGTTCGTGTGGGAAAACAGTTTTAGTTGATGTTATCTCTGGTGCTTCTCCTGAACAGTCTATTCGTGTCTATGCAATTATAGACGATCAAAGTAATCGTAGTCTTGCGACGCCGGATCTTTTTGATCGACTTGGACTTCATGGTTCTCAAAAACAGTTCGTATTGTCGTCATGTTCCGGTAGCTCTACTATGGTAGGCAGATATGCTAGTGGTATTCGTATATGTTCAATTGACGGACAATCAACTTTTGAAATGCCAGATGTTATCGAATGTGACTCCATTCCGAGTAATTTACCGGAAATTCCGACTCCGGATGTTGCTAATGCACACCCGCATCTACGTCGTATTTCTCCATACTTATCTGCACTAGATCCAAGTTGTAAAGTTGAACTTTTGATAGGACGCGACTTACCTGAAGTACACCATGTAACGGAACAAATTCTTGGTGGTAAAGGAGAACCTTTTGCACAAAAACTTCCTTTAGGATGGGTTGTAATTGGAGAGGTATGTCTTGGGAAGGTTCATGCTCCTTCTGTAATCAACGTTCGTAAAACTCATGTGTTGAATGATGGACGACACACGACTTTCCCTTTGTGTGAATTAAATATCAAAGTTAATGATGTTGAAGATCAAATTTTTGTTCGTACACCGGCAGACAACAAATTAGGTCTCTCGGTTCAAGACAGACAGTTTCTAGAACTAATGCAACGTCACTTTCGTAAAGACGAGAATGGTCTTTGGTCGGCTCCTTTGCCATTTATACAACCGAAACCACAAATGCCTAACAATCGTTACCAAGCCTGGAAAAGAGCTCAGATTTTAGAGTCAAGTTTGCGTAAGAACTCTACAAAGCTTGAACACTTTGTTACTTTTATGTCTAAAGTGCTTAGTAGTGGTGCAGCTGAAGTGGCACCAAAAGAGATTCCAGGAGAATGCTGGTATCTTCCTCTTTTTGGGGTGTACCACCCTAAAAAACCAAATCAAATACGTGGAGTTTTCGACTCGTCAGCACTGTATGAAGGAATATCTCTGAATAGTATTCTAATGTCCGGACCGGACCTGACTAATAACCTTGTTGGAGTGCTGATGCGTTTTAGAAAGAATAGAATTGCTATAACAGGTGACGTTGAACAAATGTTTTATCAATTTCATGTTGATGAATACCATCGAGATTATTTGCGTTTCTTTTGGTATGAGAACAATGACATTACAAAACCGTTGATTGAATACCGCATGACAGCACATGTTTTTGGTAATACCCCTTCACCTGCTGTAGCGACATATGGCTTACGTGAAGCTGTTTTAGAAGCTGACGCTGATGTGCGTTCCTTTGTTACGAATGATTTTTATGTTGACGATGGTCTGATCTCATTTGCAGACAAGGATGATGCAATTGACCTTATGAAAAGAACACAAAAAGCTCTCAAGGATAATGGCAACATACGATTACACAAAATTATTTCAAACGATATCGAGGTAATGAAAGCTTTTCCTTTAGATGACTTAGGAAAGGAGTTAAAAGATTTAGATTTTTGCTCAGATACTTTGCCTATTCAACATAGTTTAGGTTTGTCGTGGAATTTACAGACAGACATGTTTATCTTTCGTGTCAATGATGATGAAAAATGATGAAAAACCAATCACCAGTAGAGGCATTCTTTCAACTATTAACAGTTTGTTTGATCCGTTGGGTTTTATTTCGCCGCTAGTCATCAGTGGGAAAATTCTACTTCGAGAAGTTGTTCCACCAGGAACTGATTGGGATGATCCGCTGTCTACTGATCATGCAACAAAATGGAAAAACTGGTTGAAGTCTTTGAAATCTGTTAGTTGTTTTCAAATACCGCGTATGATTGTTCCTGTATCTATTTCTTTGACACGCCAAGTTGATATCCACATTTTTTCTGATGCTTCAGAACAAGCAATCTCTGCTGTGGCTTATCTAGAGGCAATTGATGAAACTGGTTCAGCGTTTATAGGTTTTCTTACTGGAAAGTCTAAACTTGCACCTATCAAAGGTCATACTATTCCTAGATTGGAACTGTGCGGTGCCGTGTTGGCTACGGAAGTTGGAGAAGCGATATGTCATCATATGAATCGGTCTCCGAGTGTTTGTCATTACTATACAGACAGTCGAGTAGTGTTAGGATATATATGTAATACCACCCGTCGATTCTTCACATATGTCAGTAATCGTGTGGAAAAGATTCATAAAGTGTCGGAACCTTCACAGTGGTCATATGTATCAACGGATAGAAACCCAGCTGACTTAGGGACTAGATTTATTAGCTCTCCAGACATGCAAGTTATTAGTTCTTGGATTAACGGACCGAATTGGTTATTAAACAAGGAACCCTTTGATATGGTATCTTTTCCGTTGTTATCACCACAAGACGATAAGGAAATTCGTTCTGAAATTGTTTCACGTAAAACACAAATTGACAGTCTACAGATTGACTCTCAACGATTCAGCAAGTTTTCTAGTTGGAGATCTCTCGTTAGATCATTATCACTCTTAAGACACATAGCTAAGACATTAAGTAGTGCACCTACATCTCGTTGCAAAGGTTGGCATATTTGCGCTGAAAAGGACACTCCAGAATTTATCAAGGGTACCGAAACATTGATCATTCGACAAGTACAGAAGGAATTCTTTGAACACGAAATAGATTCTTTAAATACCGACCAGAATGTTCCCAAAAATAGTGCGATTTTAAAACTTGACCCAATACTGGATGCACATGGTATCTTGCGAGTAGGAGGTAGATTGAATCGCTCTACATTGACACTTGGTGAAAAGAATCCTATTTTAATTCCTGGTAAACACCATATTGCGAGATTACTAGTGTTACATTACCACGATAAAGTCCACCATCAGGGACGTCATATTACCGAGGGCGCAATCAGGACTGCTGGTTACTGGATTACCGGTCTCAAGCGTTTGATATACTCAATTGTTTCAAGTTGCATTTTATGCCTAAGGTTTAGAGGTACTTTTTCGTCTCAAAAAATGGCTGATCTTCCAGAAGAAAGACTTTTAGCATGCCCACCATTTACATACGTTGGCGTTGATTGTTTTGGACCCTGGAACATTGTTACAAGACGGACTCGTGGTGGAAGCGCAAATTCAAAACGATGGGCTGTATTATTTGTCTGTTTTTCATGTCGAGGTGTGCATATTGAAATAATTGAAGAGATGACTACCGCATCCTTTATAAATTCACTTCGCCGCTTCATATCAATCAGAGGATATGTTAAAGAATTCTTTTCTGATAGAGGAACCAACTTTATCGGCGGCGCCCGAGAGCTCGGCATAGAAGCTATTTTTGTTGAGGACTCACTGTTTCAATCATTCATGAAAGAACAAAAAACTGTGTGGAAATTCAATACACCGTACTCGTCCCATATGGGAGGTTCATGGGAACGTCTCATTGGCATAGCAAGACGAATATTGGACTCAATATTGTTTAAAGCAGGACATCATCGACTCACACATGAAGTCTTGTGTACTTTCATGGCAGAAACAACAGCTATTATGAACGCTCGTCCTTTAGTGCCTATTTCATCCGATCCTAACTCACCATTTATCTTATCTCCAAATACTTTGCTAACACAGAAAGTAAGTGAAAATATTGAGGACTTCAGCCATTTGAACACGCATGATGTTTACACAAATCAGTGGAAATTTGTTCAGGTTTTAGCAGACAAATTTTGGACACGTTGGCGACAAGAATATTTGCAGTCGTTACAAACTCGTCGCAAATGGCAGCACATCAAACAAAACATTCAAGTAGGTGATTTAGTGCTTCTTAAAGACAATGAACTCCATCGAAATAACTGGCCAATAGGTCTTGTTGAACGTGTTTTTCCCGGTAGAGACAATTTGATCCGTAAAGTTCAGTTGAGGGTTGTAAGAGACAAACAACATCGTGTGTATGTGCGCCCAATCAGCCAAATTGTTTTACTGTGTCATAGTTGAGACCTTTATTTAAGAAGTTTAACAAGTATTTGACTGAAATGTAGTATTTTTGAACACTTGTAAGTTTGTTTTGATAAGAACGTTTTTGCTCTATGAGTATGGTGATATTTTTCATATCAGACGGGGAGTGTGCTGTTTCATTGTTTCTATAATTTGATAACTTTATTTTTTGTCTAATTGTCTTTGTTTACATTTGTACTTTCATTTTAGTACTACTTTCACTTTTCATTCCAGGTAAATTTACCTTTACTTTTTATTTTTATAATTACCTGTACTTTCATTTTAATGAGTACTTTCACTTTCACTTTAAAGAGTTAATTTCCTGTTTCCTGTGTATAATCATAGATGTTGTGTACCACAACAAGGTTGACAAATGTTTTGAATCTAACTAGAACTTGGTCATCCTATGCTGGCAGACCAATATGTAAGTTAATTTTTGATATATGATGTTTATTTTATACAGATGCATGTGTATTTTTGAGATATATTTAATATTAAAGAGTTTATTGTACAAGACATATCACATGAATATTTGGATATTTTTCTAAAGTATGGCAACCCATCAGAGATATATTGTTTTATGTCAAGACTATATATATTGGTATTTTTCATATATAGGATTATTTGTCTACGTTTCTCGAGCTTTTTGGTAAACAAATACATTCTTTTGATTCTATAATTTACCTTTATCTGTGTATTCTTTAAATTGTATTTTTTATCAGCTAGTATAAGGTTTCCTTTTTTCTATTGTAGCTTTTTACCACACGCACTCACCACATGTATGTAACAACTTGAACTGTATATTATATCAATATTAAACATTATTGGATAAGATTACTTCAGTGATTTGTACTGCCACATGGAGTGTTGGTTCACTATCTGTTAAGCTACCTAACGGTATATGTCCCAAGTCAGGAGCCTCTGGCCTTTGTTAGTCTTCAAGTTGTATGTTTTTTAATTTTAGTTCATTTATTTGTTTAGAAGTTTAGTATGACGTCCATTTTCACTGAACTAGTACACATTTTTTAAGGGGCCAGCTGAAGTGCGCCTTCGGGTGCGGGATTTTCTCGCTGTGTTGAAGACCCATTGGTGGCCTTCGGCTGTTTTGTTTACTCTTTGGTCGGGTTGTTGTCTCTTTGAAACATTACCCATTTCCATTCTCTATTTTAACATGTAACCTTCCAACTTTTTTCTATCTGTCTTTGACTATATTTGGCATTAAACAATACAAGAAAAATAAACTACACAGCGCAGCTTCCAACAGAATTACAACAAGAAAATTGATTTTAAAAATGCGGTCAAAAGTCAAAATTTGCTCTCAGCGGAAAAATGCAACAGCTTGATATTCATTTGAAATAAAATAATTGTAATGATTTACACAACGTTACTTTTTCCAATATAAACATTAAAATTATTTGGTTTTTGTTGTTTTTTATGAACTTACAACATCTTTACAAAGACCACATTCTGACTGCGATATTAAGTAGACCATAAAAGCGATGTTCATTATCTTTCTTCTGTTGTAAGTTTAACTTAGTTATTTTGTGTGATGTCATCTCGTATGTTTTTAAATATGAAGAAAGGGGTAGTCCGGTTGTCTTATACGTTAGTGAGACACACAAAAACGACAAAAAATAAAAAAAGGGCAACATTCATTCTTCAACAAAAGAATACATCACAAGAATATAAGTTTTGTAAGATAAGACCAAATTCGTGAGACGTTGTGTAGGAATTGAATAGCCAAGGCAAACTGATAAATATCTGAATGAATGAATCGATTTATGTAAAAAAATCAAGGTATTAAACAAAAAAATAAAATGATTTTTTAATTATCCGGAACTCTTCACAAACATAACCTACATGTATGCATTGAAGAAATAGTAGGCCACTCTTTTAAAATGATTACAACGTAGAAGTACTTATTCTCTTAATCAATAAGATATTTTGTGAATTAACCCCATCAACTTAAAGTTTTTTACAATGAATAAACGTATTTTTGGATTATTTAATGATATCAGCTCTGAACATTATTATTCTTTAAAATGAAACTGTTGTATGTTCATTATCACTGAACTAGTATATATATTTGTTTAGGGGCCAGCTGAAGGACGCCTCCGGGTGCGGGAATTTCTCGCTGCATTGAAGACGTGTTGGTGACCTTCTGCTGTTGTCTGTTCTATGGTCGGGTTGTTGTCTCTTTGACACATTCCCCATTTCCATTCTCAATTTTATGTGATGGTATAAAAAATATTTAAAACAAATCTTTTAAAGTTTTGTGAAAAGAAAGTTTCATTTTATGTATCGAAATGTGTAACAAGTGATCATTATTTAAATCCCCACTGGAAGGCCTCTGATAGACTGAGTGAGCATAAATCATTGTTATCGACTAACTATGGCTGTGTTTGGATATACGCCTAAGGCAGCCTATGGTTACCCATAGGTATCTTTGGATACCCATGGTTTGATATTTTGATATATAGAATATCAAACCAAAGGTACCTATGGATAACCATAGGCCACCTCTGGCGTATATCCAAACACAGCCTAACTTACACCCAATGCTAAACCCTATATTTGTTAACATTGATTAGCATATTTATATATATAAAGAATGGATAGCATATTTATTGACAAAATCGAACCATGAATTATAAGAATTTTTTTTTACATGAAACCCCACTAGTAACCTTACTTTGGCTATGTTCTTTCAAACTCTGGCTGTGTTTGGATATACGCCTAAGGCAGCCTATGGTTACCCATAGGTATCTTTGGGTACCCATGGTTTGATATTTTGATATATAGAATATCAAACCAAAGGTACCTATGGATAACCATAGGCCACCTCTGGCGTATATCCAAACACAGCCATCATCTTCAACAGTCCTAAACGGAAGTCTTGTCTATGACTTAAAAGTCCATCCGATGACGGAAACAATATCCGGACGCCTTTATTTTCGTTTTCCTCCCAAAATAACCCAAACGGAATAATCATAAGCGAGGATGACAAATGCGACTATGCATGGTACCTATAGGACACAAAGGCATGATGATTAATTTATTGTGGAAAGAAGAGAAGCGACACACAAAATGAGGTCTTCTCATTTAATAGTATAGATGGTCATTTTTGTTGTCGTTTAAAATCTTGTCTATGATCATTGTAGTTGGACTGCAATGTGGAATGCCCAACGTCTCTTGACGGAGTCAAAAAGCGAGACATATGTATGCTTTTTCCGGCGTCGGCGGCGGCGTCAACAATGTATTAGTCTGTGATTAGGTCTTGTTTATGGTGAACCACTAGTGGTAGGTCAATGATATTTGGTATGCAGTTGTATTAGTATTGGCACATCTCATTACAATGGAGATTATTTGACCCCATACCCCTCAGTCATGGTCTATTGACTTTGAAACTTTGCTTAGTTTACATATATTAGATTGTGATTAGGTCAGTTTATGGGGAGCCTCTAGTGGTAGGTCAATGCTATTTGGTATGCAGTTGTATAAGCATTAGCATATCTCATTTCCATGGAGATTATTTAGCCCCACCCCCTCAGTCATGGTCTATTGACTTTGAAACTTTTGCTTAGTTTTCATGTATTAGTTTGTGATTAGGTCAGTTTAAGGGGAACCGTTAGTGGTAGTATAATGATAATTGGTATGCAGTTGTATAAACATTAGCACATTTCATTTCCATAGAGAATATTCGGTCCTTACCCTCAGTCATGGTCTATTGACTTTGAAACTTTTTCTTAGTGTACATGTATTAGTTTGTGATAAGGCCAGTTTAAGATGAACCACTAATGTTAAGTCAATGACATTTGGTATGCAAATGTATTTGCAAGTTTCATTTCCATGGAGATTATATAACCCCACCCCTCATTATGGTTCATTAACTTGAAACTTTTACATAGTTTACAAGTTAATGTTTGTGTTTAGGTTTGTTTAAAGGGAATGACTTATGAAAAGTCAATGGTATTTGGTATGCAGTTGTATTAGCATTGGCACATCTCATTTCCATGGAGATTGTTTACCATTGTACCTTCAGTCATGGTTCATTGACTTTGAATATTTGCATAACTTACATGTCAAAGTATTGCTATTTAAATTTCAACATTTGCATTAGCAAAATAACAAATAGGCGAGACATATCTCTGTGTTAACAGTTTATTAGACTTCTTGAATATACTTTTATGAGAAAAAATACTCGAAAGGGTGATATGTTTTATAAAACCTGTTAAAGCGCCTGAAATTCAAAACGTAGTAGTTTCGCCATTCTTTTTCTAATTACAATAATGTCATTGGTTATGAAGAAGGTGATAAGTTGTGCAATGCTATTTTAGATTTCACTATGAGGCATCAACATAATAGAATCAACAAATTCTACCAAAAACGTAATTTAGCATACAGTATGATGCTGTATCGTTTTTTTTTTTTACTGGTACAGAAAACATACAATTTATAATAATCTTTTAAAATTTCAACAGTATTTTCGTCTTTAAAATTTATAATTTTCTTTTATTTCTTTTTCTCTCACATAGCATGTATAGTTTAAAAAGTTAATAAACCTTAAAACAAATATTAGAAGTTTCTTCCTGATCCTGATCATTGTTTTACGTAAAGCTGAATTGATTTTTGCTATCAAGATAATTTTTTACATGTATTCATAACTATTCTATATATTATAGCTAGACTTGGGAGGATTACAAACTTAAAAATTGTAATGACATGTCCATTGTAGAAGACCGTAGGTTGAACTTAAAACGTACCTTTAAAATCATTCATAGAAATTAAGCATTGCTGGTAGTACGGTGACAAGTAAGGTAAACTAAAACAAGAGGCTCATGAGAGCCTGATATCGCTCACCTGTAATTTCAGTTTTAGGCATTTGACTTATTTGTAGATCTTACTTTGCTGAACAATTTTGTCATTTACACTTTTTCTCTTTCTATAATAATATTAAAGATGATACATAACCCAAAACTGTAAAATTTCCTATAAATTAACTATTTCTGGACAGTAACCCAACAATAAGTTGTCCTATTGGTCTAAAGATTACTTGACAGGTAGATCTAAACCTGTTTAACCCTTTCATTTGTCAGTTTTGCTCTTACTGCTTTATTTTTTGAGACGAAAGCCAAAAACTTCATTTGACCCCTATGTTCTATTTTTAGAAACTGCCGCCATGTTTTTGAATTGATCAAATCCCCGTTTACAATCTATAAACTAGATACCACAAGGAACATTAAACTAAAGTTTTTAAGTATTTGGCCAGTAGTTTCAGAGAAGAAGATTTTTTAAAAAGTAATTAGACGCACGAAAAAATGTAAAAAATAAACGTTTCAAGGGCAATAACTCCTTAAGGAGTCAATTGACTATTTTTTTAGATAAAAGCCAAAGACTGCATTTGACCCCTATGTTCTATTTTTAGCCATGGCGGCCATGTTTCTTAATGTATCAAAACTTCGGATACAAGTTATAAACCAGTTACCCTAAGGAACATTCCGTTAAAGTTTAGAAGTATTAGGCCCTGTAGTTTCAGAAGAGAAGATTTTTAAATGTTAGCAAACATGATGAACAAATTGTGTAAATTGTCTTTAAAGGGCAATAACTCCTTAAGGGGTCAATTGACAATTTTTGTCATATTAACTGTTTTGTAGATCTTACTTTGCTGAACATTTTTGCAGTTTACAGTTTATCTTTATCTTCAATAATATTCAAGATAATAACCAAAAACTGCAAAATTTCCTTAAAATTACCAATTTAGTGGCAGCAACCCAACAATGGGTTGTTCGGTTCGTCTGAAAATTTCAGGGCTGATAGATCTTGACTTATAGAACATT